AGTTATATCAACCGCTTACTTACAAATTTTAAGTAGGGTGAATTCCCATGGCCTACCATTTTCGCGCGAAAACGGTATTTTAATAAAGTCTTGTTATACCCAAGAAAGACTTCAGAAGACTGCTACGCTACATTTCGTGCAAGCGAGAGTTTTTTTAAAGATCGAGGGGACCCGCTGTCCATATGGAAAATGAGATACGAATTTTCGTACGAACTTTTCTTGCATTCGTGGTAATTCATGGCAAAGTCGCGGCTGTTATGCTATTAGGGATCGTCAGAAAGGTGGAGAAAGTGACACTACACAAAGAGATTTTAGGAACTAGTGACTAGTCCATTAATTTCGTCTGGTATTCTGCGATTTTTTTCAGGGATCTCCATAACACTGGACAAGCATTTCTTTGTATCCGTTGAAAGCGGCTTTAAATGCGGAAAGAACTGTGTTGAAAAAATATTTTAGGAGATTCTGTCCAAAGCCACACCCCTACACCAAGTTTTATGTTTTATTTTTCATGAATTGTCCGGTTTTCATAGTATTCAGGCGGATTTAGACTGCACGCAGCCACAAGAAATAATAGGTAACACTGCCATGTGAATTTTGCGCAGTAAAGTCTTCGGCCTTCGTTTTGTTGCACCTGCCTTCATGCAGGACACGTCACGCTCAGAATGTTGTGTTTTGTAATTTTGCACACAACCCAAAATGATAATTAGCATGGAGTTTTGTGTTATTTTAGTAAAATTTAGTAAACGAATAGCGTGTTTGCATTCTTCTTAGCCCAATAGTTAATGTATTTCGTTTACAGGAAAATTTCCTTCGCCATATCGAACCAGCTAGCTCATCGGGCGATTTAGAATATATATGTTCCCATTATCTCTTCTTAAATCCGCAAAAGATTTTATCATAGTCTTCGGGTTTCGCAAAGATTTTGCAAATTGTATGTCGCAGGACTCCTTTCCTTCTCGTTTACTAACCGGAATAAATGACAACAAAACGTGGTTTAGTATGGTTTTCGTGTAGTTGTTATGGTTTCTGTCGATCTATTTGACCATATTTTCCACGTCCATTTTACGCTCGTCTTTTAACGGGCCCCAGTACGTTCCATGAACTATCGCCAGTCCGTCTATTGTAATGATAGCAGTTTTTGCTTCGAACTTCAGTCCATTGTAGATAAAGGGGGAGTTACGTCACATACACTTGCTTCCAAATAAAGTACGCCCCAGTATCATTAATCAGAGAAGAAATGGCTAAACCGAAGCAGTATGGGTGATTAGATGTGATTGTTTCGTCTTTGGTTTATGCGAATATCGTTAGTCGACTGCAACTCCGTCTGGGAAACGGAGTTCCGTCAGTATACATATGAAATATGCTGGTCACTTGCTTTTGTAACAGTTATTGGCTTTTAAAATGTGCTTTTAACTTAGGAAAATGCTGTTAAAGGCGGGACTATCGAAAATGACTGAGTTTTAGTGATGTGCCCAGATAAATTTTGCGGTCTTTAGGAGAATTTCCCATCCGTAGCTGTCAGCTGGTCATTGAAAAACCCAACAAATACGTTTCTACGTCCAAAATCTATAATCCTCGCAAGACACCAAAAATAACAAACCTGACCTGCAACTTTTAGAAATACTTGCTTCAGTGAGATTCGTAATCTCCACTGCAGGATTTAAAGCTAAACGCTCACCCATCTAAATGTTGTCTAGACGTCAGTACATCAACCCAACTATCACGAAAACGAAATTTTAATAATGCATATTTTTCCTAATTCGGAGTGAGCAAAAAACAAATTTATCGCCATCTATTCACATATTATGAAAACCATTTGTTGTGCAAATGCTAGTCTAGCGTTTAGGATGACAGATCGAACGCCAAAAAGCCACCCAAATTACTAAGGCAAAACATTCCAATGGTGGCAGAGGGAACAGCTAAGCGACTAGAAAACACAATCCCCTGTCCTCCAAAGTACTTCTTACCTACACCATACTCTAATGAAAACCTAGCCATACCCCCTATAATCTGTTACCTCCAGCGTGTTTCTTGGGTTCCCTGTGGCTACAGTGCCCCGTCAGATCTGATTGTTCTGTGCCCGCGAGAATTCGCTTGGGTCTTTTATAAATTTCTTTCGAAGCTGATTGGAAAGAATATAGCCTACATGAACGGACTTTTCTAAATATACGCAGCTTTTCAGTAAGAACGACTGGCAGGTTTTAAATGCATTTTCTCCTGGCTGATCGTGTTCTAGTTCTCTGCCGCGGTGTTTGGACAAGAGTCGAGCAAGCATACGCTCCCTGCAAATTCTAAATGTTAGGCCGCGTGTTAGCACTGAAAAAGTACCACTTGGGATAAGCACTCCACAAAGAAGGTAGTGTCTTCTGAGCCATAGCTCTGTTAGGCTCACGAAAAAGATGTATTAGACAGAGTTGATGCGTAATTACAAAAGACGATATTGGCATAGTTCGTGATCTTACTAAGCTGAGCGCTGGGCAACCCAGAACACAACCGCAGGTTCGTCAGTTTAAATTAATCGAGCAACACGCGCTTTCTTGTTGCGTAAAGCCTGCACTTCGCCCAGTTTCCTATAATAGTTGTTTAACTATGTGAAGGAAAATACATCATTTATTTGCTAGTGAAGTAGCATACATATTTAAAAGTTATGATTGACAAGTCTGCTAAAAAGACGAGGAAATCTGCTAACCGTTAGAATTCTAAAGTTGACGATAAAGTGATTCTCTGTTGTTGGGCATTATCATTTATAATGCGATTATGCCACCCAATAAAAACATGCAGTATAAACCAGAGTATGCTACAGGATCTGAAGATGCCTGCGCTCAGTCGAAGAGCTACCTTCGCGTTCAATGACGCTTAGCATGTATTTTGTGCTTTGATAAAAAAAGCAGGAAAAAAAATGCTTTCAGTGCAACAGAAGTTACATTCTGCGTCATTTGAAAAGGAAATTGGCCCGTCATTCAGTAAATGAATGCGCAAATCATGGGAAATACTTGGAAGTACAGTCATTCACTCTGTCGCAAGTGCACGTTTAGCCGCTGCAACCAACGCCCCGGCGCCCTTTCCACTGCCGTCCTCGGATAACTTGAGTCGGAACTAAATAAAAAGACATAATAGTTAAAATTTAAATTTAAATCCACACACTTACATGTATACACGAGTCAGAGAGGCATATAAAAAGCGTCTTAGCACTCAAATAAGACTGAGAAAGCGACACCCAGAATTTTATTCGAGGTAAACCCCTTAGCCATTACTGACTCCAGAGTGAGATTTGGGCCTCACCGCAGACAAGGAGCGAAATACATGCAAGAAAATATAAAAATAAGAAAACATCAGCCAAAGTTGTTCTCGTAGGCCTATATACAGCAACGAGGTTGAGAGAGAAACAAAAACAATAAAATACCAACTCTCAATAAGTAAAAAGGTATCGGAATAACAAAAAAACAAGGAATATTTTGTGCAACTCGGGATATGAATGCAGTAATTAATGCACAGACGGTTCCTTACCATAGCTATGAAATAATCAACTAAATCAGGCTAGGCTATGTATTTTAAAGTCATAAGGCGTACAAACTCCATCTTTACCTACCAATAATTGAATAATAAAACGAGGACAGTTTACTCTTGAAGCGGCAAGGTCATAGCGGTTTTGGCCAGCGATGAACGCCAGTATTCACAAGGGTATGTAGGACCCAGAAGAAGAAGAAGAAGAAGAAGAAGAAGAAGAAGAAGAAGAAGAAGAAGAAGAAGAGATCATTGGAACACGAGGTTTATTGTCCTGACGTTTCGGATTCCCTCGGTAATCCTTAATCATAGGTAAGGTTTATTTTCCTGATGTTTCAGATTCCCTCGGGAATCCTTAATCATAGGTAATAGTAGAACAGTCTGGGATTCCGTCGGGGAATGGTCTTTGTTTGAATCGGTGGATGCGGGGACTTCGACTTTGATCAAGGGTGGTGTACGTGGTGCGTCCACGTAGGTAAGGTGTAGATAGGTTGTCTCTTCCCTGGTAGCGGTATCCAGCCCCACCCCCCTTGTAGATAGGTATGCGTAACAGTTGCCCTTCCTGCGGGGGCCCCACAGGGTGTTCTTTTTCCCCGTTGGCAGCCTTTAGCGCCACCTTGCCAGAACGATTGTTTATCAACTCCTGACGACTGGTCTATCTGTCCTCAATAAATCATCGTGTGTTAACTATGATATCGGTTTTGCGCCTTAAGGGATTATTGCTATGGCTAACGAAGCTTCTAGTCGATTTATAGCGTGTGGATACAATCAGAAAAAAGTAGGCGCTGACGAACAGCTGAGTGTCGACTGAACCCGCAGTACGCTCGAGTATTACAGGTATTCAGAACTTGCCTGAAGATTGTTGAGTCGGTCAAAACTGGCTATAAAAAACTGCCAATACGAAAACCTATGACAGCATCTGATGGTACTTAAAAAGTGAACGATATTAGTAATCACTTCGATATAGGTTAATGCTGATTGTTATATCTTTTGGGACTCAAACATTTATATCAGCCCCTCCATGACTTAGACTATTGGGCAGCGACCGAAAAACATAATGGTGTATATCAAACTTCGGAAAACATACAAATCGGGCAAAGGGAATTTTATAATTCAGTAAGACTGCACATCGCTATCTCTGAAACCTTGACATATCTGATCAAAACCAATAGATTCGCCCGGTGAAAAGACGTAAAACGAATGTTAGCATCCCAAGAAGTTGTTATTTTTCTTATTTGACGCAAGCGACAAGCGTTTAGGCTAAGACCGCATCGAGGATAACATTAGGTACCTAAGTATTAACCCCTCTTATCTGCATAAAATGTATCAGACTAATGAAAAATGAAAAGTGGAATGATTTTAGCATATGATACACATGCAAAAGTCAATGTGGCAGCGTAAAAACACATACAAATATTTTGATTTACCAGACGGTGTACTAACTGTTTTACCGCCATCATATAATTCCGGTGTGTGCTTTATCATTTCACGACTGAGCGCGAACAGAGGCTATTCAATTTTGCACGAAGTAGGTAGATTGCATGCTGTGAATGTCATAGTACTAGTCGTTATCTGTGTCCCTTATCCTAATAATGGTAATTTGATTCGACTTTCGTCTGCTTCATAAATGTTGGACGCCTTCAAAGGTGTGTATTCTAGGAGGCACAATGAACGTCATAACTGAGAAAACCGGTGGAAAACGTTACTGTTATACAGAAACCGTGGTAATAAGGGTTGCACGAGTGGAGCATGCAAATGGCTTAAAAGGAATACTGTCAGACTTGCTAACCTGTTTTGTTGAACTAAGCACGCAAACAGTAGGTAGGTAATAAGGAAAGCAACCAATCAGGATGTCCAAGATGAAGTTGTAATTTAAAGTGTGAAAATTGGCTGTTGAAAAATAAATTTAGATGCGGCAGTAATGCAAATTTCGCATAAAGGCGAAATTACACTTTTGAATGCACCAACGAGGGCAGTAGGCTTATATTTCCGCGAGATTTTAAAAATGAAAGGGGAAAATTTTCGTACTTTTCACCGAGTTCTCAGAAAAAGAGGAAACTTCAAGATGAACGCTTAGAATCCAGGACAGTGAATCAACTATAGCCCTAAATCAAACCCTAATGCCAGACATTAAAATTACCCCAACGATAGGCCTAAAACCAACCCTATCCGAAAAGAAAGATTCTGTAAGACATATATGCTAAATCTCTCCAGCGCCGGACCTTAGCTCTCGAGGATAGGTATACAGTTCACCTCGCCTTCACTGAAGTTCAGAAGACCCTTGACACTCTGCCTCAGATTGCTGTACAAGCTAAAGCAAATGGAAATCAGACGCGACTCCCTTAAATGGATCGACAACTTCCTTATGGGACGGCGCCAGGTCTTGTGCATCAGCCAAGAGAAGTCAAGTTCTGCTGCGGTCGAGGGTGGAGTCTCTAGGGTTCAGCACTAGGACCTATCCTGCTCCTGATATATATGCGCGACTGTATTGGAGAATTGGACTGTAATGCAGCTGTGCTTGCTGGAGACATGAAAATCTGGGGCTGAATCCGAGCCCTGCCACGAGGGTAGACCGTAGATAAATTTAAACCGATGGGATGAGGGGTCAAATCGTTGGCTTCTCTGGTTCAACGTTGATAGTGTACAATACTTCGCCTAGGCAACATAACCAACTCACCAACAGTAGGAGCTACTTTATCAACGGTGCAGCCTTGTAAGACGTGGAAACCCAAACGGACTTCGGTGTGCTGACGACAACTTCCTTAAAACCACATCGCAGTACTTGAGAGTGGCAAAAAGTTCAGTGTCTATACTGTACAATATTAAGAGAGCCCTTATGGATTTTGATGAAGATCTATTTCCCCAAGATTTTCGGAATATTTGTTAGGCAGTATTGGAAACCCCAAAGAGTTCAAGATTAGAATAATCTCGAAAGACTCTAAAGGAGAGCCACAGACTGTATATGCATGTGAAAACGGGTGGCCTTTTGTGAACTCTTTTAAAGTAATAGCTTAGTGAATTAGGAATGACTTCGAGTCTGAAACGAGCCCGAGGGGCGATCGCAAGTTATTTAAGACACTAGGATTAAACTAATAACTGCTCGGATGCTACGTCGTCGTCACCGGTAAAACGTAGCATGAAGTAAGCAAAAATTTGTTTCGAGAAAATCAGGTGAATTTATTTCTCTGGTCAAGAAAGCACCTGGGCTCACAGTTTGATCCAAATGGTTGAACTACCTTCACCACCTTGGTAAATAAAGGAACAACTACTTCTTTATAAACAGAGTATTTTGACAGAATTGGATAATTCATTTAACACAGTTGTGATAAACTCCGCGGCGTCAGTAAGATCCGAGGCCATTACAGTAAGGGAAGGCTTTAGTACAGCCAAAGCTCTAGCTCTGCTTCACGGTGGAGTCTCGTAGTTCAGGTGGCTAGAGCAATGGTTGTATTAAAGCGGGCGTGGGT